TCGTCGAGTGGCTGTTCTTTCTTGTTGGACCACATTGAATGAGAAGACATCCATTTCAATGTTCCACTTAACTCCTAGCACTCTCTGAGCTGGTAGCTCTGTGTAGTTTAAATCCACGTCCTTGACTTGTGGAGCACGCTCACTCTCTGGAATGCTCTCCAAGACCACTTCGTTATTGCAAATAAACTTGTGCAGACGCAGCTGTCCCTTCTGACAGACTTCTCTTGCTTCATGGACAAGTTGCTTGGCCTTTTCCACAGTATCCAAACTAACAAGACCATCATCCACATAAAAGTTTCTACGGATGAAGCTTGCTGCCATGGGTACTCATGCTCATATTTGGTGGCGAGGTATTTCATGCCGTAATTCGCACAACCTGGCGATGATGCCGCTCCAAATATGTGCACCCTCATGCGGTATTCCTTGGGCTCACTCGCTGTGTTCCCATTCTCCCACCACAGGAACCTCATGAAATCCCGATCTTCTTGAATGACATGAAAGCGGTGGAACATTTTCTCCACGTCGCAGTTGATCGCAATTGGATACTGTCGGAACCGACACAGCACTCCAGTCAAAGCGTTGGTTAAATCTGGTCCCGTGAGAAGGTGGTCATTCAACGAAGTGCCTTCATATTTGGCAGAGCAGTCGAAGACAACTCTGATCTTTTCTGGCTTTCGCGGGTGGTACACTCCATGGTGTGGTATGTACCAAGTGTTCCCATCTTTTGATGTTGCATGGACTTCCTCTGCATCACCATCTTTGAAAACATTGACCATGAACTGACCATAGTCCTCCTTGTATTTAGGATTTTTGTCCATTTTTCCTTTCAAATGTTTCAGCCTAACTGTGGCTAAATGCTTGTTACTAGGGAGCTGGGGGCGCTCTCTGAAAGGCAGAGGCATCTCCAGATATCCATTGTCATTATGATGGATTCCCTCTTTCAGAATTTGTAGGAACTGAATATCTTCTTGGGAGATTGTTCCCTCTGTAGGATTTGTATCCTGAAAATCTCTCTCAAGAGCCTTAATCGCACATGCAGGTGTAATAGGTGGAATTTCCTTTACAGAGATGCGATAGCAGAGTCCTGCATTCATTCCTCCACCAGTATTAAGTGTTTTGGCACCAACCACGCTCCACCCGAGGTCTGTTTTCACTGCATATGGCTCATGCTCCGCTCCTGATACGACTTCCTTCGGTTTTAGAGCTCTGACGCAATCGTAGCCTATTAGCAGTCCAGCAGGACAGTCTAGCAGGTCTGGCATCTCATCAGCTATGTTAAGCAAGTGTTTCCATCCTTTGGCTGTTTTCCGAGTTGGAATGCTGGTCTTCTCCAACGGAATATCGTCTCGAGTGTAAGCTGGTGGTAGTTCAATGCATTCTTCGGAACTGTATCCTCTGACCTTTAACCCACAGGCTCTGTGACAATTCACTATTGACCTGTCAGTCATTGTTGACAACTTGAGCTTAACTGGCTCAGTGTGTGCGTCTAGTTTTTCACACACGTCATTAGTGACAAATGTATTGCTACTTTGTGTATCTAACAGAGCATACACTAAGATCTCTGGGCTACTTTTGACAGTACTAGACAGCCACACTGGGACTATCATTGAAGTGCGGTCAGCATTTGCCATGTTCATACTACACGAAGCAGTAACGTTACTGTCTCTCTGTTGGTTGGCTTCAAACTTCACCACTTGAGCCGATTCGTCATGAAGCGGAGATGGATGGCCTTTTCTACAAACATTGCATGTAGCCCTTTTCCGACAATCTTTTGCAACATGGCCAACTCTCAAGCAGGCAAAGCACATGTTGTTGGTTTTCACAAAAGCTTTCTTCTCTTCAAGAGTCAGAGCAGCAAACTTTCCACATTTGTAAATGAAGTGGTTTTCTTGACAGCATATGCATTTTATTTGCTTCTTTGTTTGAGCAGCAGATGAATTATCTGTTGAGCTTGCTGATTCACCTGAATCCTTAGCTGGAGGATCTTTCCCTTGAGCAACCTTTGTTGTTGTAACGAGGGTTCTGACTTTGATGCGTTTTACTTCTGTGTCTGGTTTCTCGTCTGTCTTCTTCAAAGCATGAAGCGAGGAAACCGGGTTGCAGGCAATGCGTGCCTCCTCGGCTAAGAAGTTTGAGAATGCTTCAAAACTTGGGTATGGCTTGCAGTCATCCAATTCCTTGACAATTCGATTCCATCGAGTTGTTGCCCAGTCAGGAAGTTTCTGAAGTAGCTTTTGATTCTCCTCACAATCGTCTAGAACTTTAAGACCTGATATATGAGGCATTGCATTTTTGCATGAAACAAGAAAATCACTGAACTCTCTTAGTTTTAGTGGCTCTTTTGGTCCTATCTTGGGCCAGCTACTAAGTTTACTCCTAAAGGCTCTTTGCACTATGAATGGGTGCCCATAGCGCTTGTTCAGTGCATCCCAGGCTTGCGTATATGCTTCATCATCACTTCGATAAAAAGTTCCTTCCAGCACAGACAGCGCGTCTCCACTTATATATTTTCTGAGGTAAAACAGTCTATGTGCTGGGCTTGTACAGGTAGTCTCTATCAAGGCTTTAAAGCTGGTACGCCATTCAGTGAATTTCAGAGGATCACCAGTAAAAACGGATGGCTCCGGTGCCGGAAGTCTTGTTAACATCAGAGATTCTTTGAAGGCTTGCACTAGTGTCGCATCATTCAGGTTTTGCTCTGATTGTTTTTCAGAACGAGGAGAGAGTGGTGTTTCATGGACAATCTGAGCACATGGCGCTGGGTTATGTTGAGTTTGGAACTGCCCTGGAGACAGAGTTATGCTTTTCCTTTCTCCTTGGGGCTGACTTGGAGGCAGAGTTATTTCTTGCTTTTCTCCTGTTTCTCCGTTCATTTTCATTTCCTCCTCCTCATACACATCATATTCAGCCTGCATAGCTTCCAGATCCCTTTGGTTTTCCAGCATTTTCAACTTCTCTTGCTGAGCAAACACTTCCTTTCTTTGCGCAGCTATCTCACTCTCTCTGTTTATTTCAGCACGTTTGGATGCTAAACGTGCAGCTACTTCTGTTTTTTTAATTGACATTTGACTTCCTGCTATGCTACTTGCGCCAGCTCTCGATACAGTAGACCCATATACTGATCATCGTCTCTCTGAAGTAATTTAACGAGTGATTTCTTCACTGCGGCAGCATCGAACTCTTTGCCTATTTCTGAGCAACGTATTTTCAACAGAGCAACTACTTCCTTAGTTACTGAGGTGCAGCTATCCATTCGCCTTCTTATGTCTTGGCTTGGTGTGGTCAATGCACGTAAGCTGTCATACTCCTGCTTTAGGTGTGACTCATATCCTTCTAAAGTAGCTGTCATACTTTCAAGACTCTCTTTATCACATTCTCTTTTGAGTTGGCTCCTAATGTACTGAACCTCACCTTTGAAGCTGACATAAGTTAACATAAACTTTCTTTCCTTTTTTGCACTCTCTTCCTTTGCATAGTTAAGCCATTTTTCGGTTGGTCTACGCTCTCTTTCTGATCGCCTAAGTTGTTCAGATTCAGAAATTGGTTCCTGACTCTCTACGCTATGTGCTTGCAGACTGTTATCAATTTCAGCAATGCGTTCTGTCATTTGGTCTCTTAATGTTGCATTTGTTTCAGTTTCTAACTTGGTTTGTAAGTCTATTTTTTCTTCTTCAAGAGCCTGAATTACTCCCTCAAGTACAAGAGCACTCTCTTCACTTTGATCCATTTTCTTAATTATTAATAATCAAAATCTTAAGCAAAACCTTAAGCTAAACTTGTACTATAAGTAATCCTCAGTATTAAATTCAAATATAAAGCATACACATATAGAACCAAACAGGAAATCCATAGTAGGAATATCTAGTTCCTTAATAACACAGGCCAGAAACACCCACACAAAACATGCACACAATGGCCCCCTCACACTTAATTTCAAATATTTACAAGTGATAATGTTTCTTATCAACTAAAACCTGAAGCCAAAGGCTTGGTGATACCACTCACGATTACGGCGCGCTGTTGCTCTTGTGATTACTTGTGGAAACGGCGCAGTCTCAATCCTTGTCCTGATTGCAAGCCGCCGCCATATTTTGCAAGTCACTGCAATCGCAACGGTCCGAGCAGATTGCAAGGTTGAAAGACGAGCGGTAGTTTTCTTCAAGCTGCAGGCGAGTTGTAGTCTTCAAGCTGCAACGGTCCTTTTTCCTCTCCCCCATCCATCTCAGCATGGCTGGCGAGAAGTTCACAGCTTGCTTTCACTGTGCGGTCTCCCTCGTTTGTTCTCTGGCTTCGAGCTGAGCTGCATACGGTGCACGTGTTCACTATAGCTGCTCCCAACTTTTTCCACTGGTTGATGAAGATGCAACGCTCCGACTGATGGTTCCAAACGTTTATTAAAGGAATTTTCTGTCACATAAACGCCCAAGACCACCGTGAACACTGCAATAAAATACACAGTGGCAAATACATCAGTTAAACCGTCATGTTCTCTTATATATAAATTGTTCAAATGAAACTTATTACACATATACAAACACAAGAATATTCCATTCAATTGTCCATACCGTATGCCCCTCCAACCAGAAGGTTAGGAGTTGCTAGAAGTCCATTTCTTCCAAATTTCAGTTCTTTGTCTTTCCTATTACCGCTTGCAAAACCCAACTGAGTATGAAACGAAACTTACAGCCCTTTATCGAAAGCATCACGTGACCAAGTGATGACGTAATTGCTGAAGTGGTCAGATAACGTTATTAACCAAATCAAACAGTATTTCCCAAAATATACATAAAGAAAATGCTTGACTGCGTTCGCTACAAGCAGAAATGATTAAATTCATGACATTAAAATATTTATCTGGATTCTTTCTTCAGTTTTAAATCAGTTAAACAGTTTTATGTTTGTTTAAATAAAAACTTCATGTTTAATTAATATTCTGTGAGTTTAAATGAGGAGCATCCAGACTTTCAGGAAGAACATCAGAACCTGAGCAGAACCGGAACCGACCTGGGCAGCGAGGTTCTGGAGCCGGAGCTCTGCGTGGTCATGGTGAGCACGGTGGTGATGCCGAGCGCCACTCGGGCCGGCGCGGCGTCCATGTTGATCCAGAAGGAGACCCAGGACAGGATGACGATGAGAAGGGACGGGATGTACATCTGGATCAGGTAGTAACCCATCTGCCGCTCCAGGTGGAACCGGACCTCGATGCAGGTGAACTTACCTGCAGCGCAGCGGGTATCGGGTCAGAAAGGTTCCAGAGGCAAACAGAACCACACAGAACATGAGATAATGGGTCTGGTGCCGATGGTTCTGATGGAGCTGCTTCCGTTACTGGGCGCCGTTTCTGAAGCTACGCAGTAAAAAATGACCTGCAGCTTTTGGTTTATGTAACCCATTAGAAAACAGAAAATGGGATTCATTTTTCCAAGTCATATTTTCACCATTTACTGATTAAAAATGTCAGATTCAAGCTAAATATTTAGTTCCGATTCCAACGTAAAGATTTATTTTTAAAATATTTAGCTTGTTAATGAAATATTTATCTATGCTAACTAACTTTAGTTACCTTACTAATTAAATAATTTGCTGGTAAATATTCAGGTTGCCAACTTTAGGTAGCATGCCAGCTAACTATTTAGATTGCTAGCTAAACAGGCTAAATTTTTAGCTAATATGCAAGTTAGCTTGCTGATAAGCAGATGTGGACTATTATGTAAACTGGTACTGCATCTCTTCAGTCGACTCGTCACTCAGGTAAAGTTTCATTTCGTCTGGATATTTTCAACTTGTTAGCTGCAAATATTAGCCACTGCAGCCACATCTGCAACTGCTGTCCAACCAGAATCGCTCCAGTTCATGTTTGATTCACTCTTAGGTTGCGTGGAGCGGCTATCAAAGTTTGGCTTCCTGTTTATTCATTCAGATCAGTTCAATATTTAGTTTGGAATGATGACATTTATAAATGAATGAATAATATGGTGGAAATATGCCTTCAATAGTTACATTTTTCTCTTATAAGAGCCTAAGTAAATGAAATTGCTGCCGTTAATGTTTTATTGTGTAACTTCACAAACGGTTCCGGTCCGGTGAGATTCTGTTAACTTAGTGAGCGAATAGCTGTGGGTCTGGAACAAACGGGATGAAACCGTTTGTGACGGAACCAGAACCGCCTGCTGCTTTCTGCCTGAACTGAGCTGATGGTTCTGCTGGACCTCCTCCCATGGCTGACTCACTATCTGCAGAACCAAACCGCCGCTGACACCGTGTGGGGCTGGAGGTCACAGACACCTCGTCCGGTCCAATCCCCTGGTTCTGATCGCCTCTGATAAAATCATCATCCTGGGCGTCAGGAAGCCGCTTCTCCTCACAGCCGGCGGCACCAACAGAACAGACAGAACCTGGCAGCTGGCTGGTTTGTGACACCGGTGGCCCGGCGTGTGTGTGTGTGTGTGTGGTGTGTGTGTGTGTGTGTGTGTGTGTGTACCAGTGTTGTAGTGCTTGGTGCAGTATCTCAGGTCCGACTCGTCCTTCAGGATGAACTGTGGCAGCGTGAGGCCCTCCGCCACCTGGACCGGCCCGTTTTCCTGCCACTCGAAGATCAGGTCGTTCATAGTGTAGCCAACTGGAAAAGGCAAAAGAAGTGGGTCAAACCCGGACTAGAAAGCCCGGTTCTGTCTCGATCTGTGGGTCAGAACCGCCTCTTCCAGGGTCCAAATGGACTTTTGTTCCTGCTTTTTTCTGTTGGGTTCTGCAATCTGAGACCCTCTGAAAGCAAAAACTGCGTCAACGGACAAATGTTTAAAAACTCAACAAAAGTGGGCGGGGTCAAGAGACGAGGGGCGTGGCTAAATATGGAGTCAAGGTCAAGAAGGGCTGTTGGAAAGGCATATCGCTAACTTAGCAACTTTACAAAAAAATGCTGTTACCAATCCTGGCCAGGTTGGTTAGTCCAGCTCCGGACTTGCCACCAGGGGGCGTGTCTGAGTGAGATGGTTTTATACTGGAACATGGTGCTGAGTGATGTAGACATCCACTCAACTAGACTGAGGCAGCACTGAGATGAAGATGTCACACAAGGACAGATAAGACCTTCAAGGACAGATAAGACCTTCAAGGACAGATAAGACCTTCAAGGACAGATAAGACCTTCAAGGACAGATAAGACCTTCAAGGACAGATAAGACCTTCAAGGACCAATGTTTCTGCAGAAAAGCAGGAGGTTGGCGGTTTAGTCCCGGTTTGTAGTTTTTTCTTTCTCATGAGGAAGTGAGAACAAAGCTCAACCTAGAATTAAACTTTCTGTTGCTCTGGTTCTGTTGGAGCTGCTGTGGTTCTGCTGACCGGACCCAGAGTTCTGTTGGACCTGCTGCACGGGCTTCCAGGAGCCGGCTGGTGGTTCTGGTTCCACTCCGGAGCCACGCATTGAGGATGCACTCAGTTCTGGTTCTGAAGTTTGATCCAAACGGGAACAGGAAGAGATGAAAGCAACAGGCAGGAAGTGCCTGCAGCCCCTTAAAGCGACGGTGTCCTTCACTTCACATGATCTTAAAACCCAAACGCCTGCGGAGGAAACCGGGTCAGAACAAGTTCTGCAGGTTCCACTAACTGTGTTCACACTTTAAAAATAAACCTGACTCCAATTAGAATAATGTGTGATGTCAACATCATCATCGTCAGCGCCTGATGAAAAGCGCTAGGACCTGCTGGTTCTGGTTCTGGTTCGACCCAGCAAAGTGTTGCATTTCCAGACCTAACTACAGCAGACAGCTGAGCAGGGCTGGGATTAAATGAGATTATTTTTATAAAATTAAACATTTCTAAATAAGAGCACAAGTTAATGAAGCAGCCAACATCCGACACGGTTCTGGTTCCATGACGGGTCCAGATGTTCCTCTGCTCCTGTTGGACTGACGAAGCTCCAGTTCTGTTTTGAATAAACTGAATTTGTTCTTGCAGTTCTGACTGTGGCACCAACAGGACAGGTTCTGGTCATTCGTGCTGAAACAGATTTATGAGTGAACTGAGACTCGGGGGTTGCCGGTTCGAACCCCGCTGTCTGTGGCTGATCAACGGAGCTTTGGAGTCCTCTGGGCTTGAAAAATATCTGTAAAGTTAATTCTTCAGTTGTTTTGTCCTTTTTGCTCCGTGTGTCACATACAGAAACCAAATAACATCAGAATTTTACAGGAAAAAAATAAGAAAATTATATTTCCATCCATGGAAAAGTGAAGAATTTCCCAACCCATGAAAAACAAAGTCCAATTCATTTCCAACTTTTTTCACGTTTTTTTCCAGACTCTTTCCAGGTTTTTTCACATTTCTCCAGGTTTTTCCAGACTCTTCCAGGTTTTTCAAGGCCATCTCAGGGAGGTCTGCAGCGTTTCCATGTTCAGAAATGCAGTGGTGGCGCAGCATGCAACTGACCCCAGAGGTGGTTTAATGGGACTCACAGCTCTCCAGCTGCATGATGCAGGTCTGGACGTCCATGGGGAAGTTCTTCAGGTCCATGGGACACGACAGCGTCAGCGTCAGTCTGCAGGACAAGAAGGAGAAAACGGCTCAAATTAGGCTCCATGTTGGAGAGCAGAAGAGATGAAACCGATTCATCCAGCCTGAGGATCGACGTTTTCTAAATTTTTTCACATCTTTCTCTGTGGTTGAACCAACCAAACCCTTTGAGCAACCTGTTCCCCTCCTGGCCTGTGGGGGCGCTGCACCAAGAACCACTGAAGACAATGAACGCCACTTCCTTCTTCACCAGATGGAAACTAAATGGAGGCGCCACATTCTAGGATTAGTGGATTTCTCTCTAGTCTTTACATTATGCAACAATTTGTCAGAAACAAAATGTATTTTATGACAATAAAAATATGTTTTTAATGTTTTAAATGCAATAAAAACATGTTTTTATTGCATTTAGAAAAACCAAAGAGTTTGCTTAGAGCAGATCATGACTCCCAAACAGAAACTGAGAGTCCTTCATAACAGTTAGTTTGTTTTTCCCAGAATATTTAAATGTTTAATCTCATGTATGTGGCGTGTCCCCGCAGCCCAGGGCGGTTAATGTGTCGCATGTTATCCCGGCCCGTTCGGGTCGCCGTGCTCTGTTTGGGTAATCATGCATGTTGATGCGGCGCTGCAGCCTCACAGCGCAGCTGAAGAATATCCCTCCAGATTCATCGTCACAGCAGAACAGCCATGTAGAGCCACCTGGTCGCCATGAAAACGCTCACTTTCTGCAGGCTGAGGAACCGGGGCGACAGGGGCGGCCCACACTTTTCTGGGGCCCTAAGCAGATTTTCATTTGAGGCCCAACCTGTTAGTAGCAGATAATTCCTGAGCTTCTATTAGCATTGGCATCATCTACGATTAGCTTACATAATCCCAGGGCGGCAGAGTTTGACCTGCATATGCCTTGGGCCGGCCTTGCTCTAATCCAGTGCTTCTCAAATAGTGGGGCGGGCCCCCTTTGGGGGGCGCAGAGCGATACCTGGGGGGGCGTGTGATCCTGGGGAACAGGCTTTTTTTTGGCCGTACTAGTATAAAGTGTAATTGCGCACAGTAGGCGGCAGTGGCGCTCTCATTGTTACTTCTGTCACGTTTGCGACAGTGCAACATTTTACGACTTACAAGACAACAGGTTTGCCTTGGTTAGCAGTGTTAAGTCAACAAAAAGCTCCGACTGCGTTCTGTCTCTGGCCTCCGTTATTCAACAACCCCCAACATGAAAAAGTTTTTCACAGGGATGAAAAGAAAAGCGGAGAGAGACAAAGATAATGAGACAACAGAAAGTCAACCGGAAGCTAAGAAGAGGAAATACGACGAAGCGTATTTAGCGCTTGGCTTCACTGTGACTACAGTTGGAGAAGAGGAAAGACCGCTGTGTTTGCTGTGTCTAAAAATGCTCGCAGCGGACAGCATGAAGCCAAATAAATTAGCGCGTCACTTAAATACGTTACATCCCAATCACGCCGATAAGCCGCTAGAGTTTTTTCAGCGAAAAAAATGTTAATAAGGAAAAAATGTTATGCAGAGATGGATAGTCACGGTGCGGAGTGGGGGGCGCGAATAGTTTTCTTCTTGCTAGGGGGGCGTAACGGAAAATAATTGAGAAGCACTGGACTAATCTAATCTAATCTGGGTGATTTGGACCCACCGTATGGAGTAGAGCACTTTGCCGTCCTTGAAGATGCGCAGCAGCTTGTTGTCGGTGGTGACCTCGTGGAAGTGCGCTCCCTTCTCGTTGGCGAAGAACAGGTCCGGTTTCCAGATGGAGTCCAGCATGGACGGGTCCAGATCCAGAGAGTCGTCAGGATACTCGCAGTACGCCAGCCGCGGGTCGTTCCACTGCTGCCGCAGGAAGATGTTCACCCGGTAGTCCTGGAGGGAGACAGCTGGGTCAACGGAACCAACAAAACCATCAAACGTGGGTCAACAGGACAGAACAGAACCATCAGAACCTCCACTCTGATGTCAGAGGAACATTTGGGTGTAGAACCTTGCAGCAGACACGGCGAGTCGATCCCAGAATGAACTCTGATCGTTCATCTTGAATGAAGTCAAGATTTTCACCAGAATTTGACAAACTGGAAACTGACTGAATTTGTTGAACTAATTCTGAGATCTATTCTGGTTTTGTTCTGTTTCTTCTACGTGAATCATTTTGTTCACGGTTCTGTAAGTAGATAAAGTTTGAAGTTTGCTTCTTTTCTATCGGTTGCTCTGGGGAATCAGAGGCTGATGTTTGTGTCTCCGGGCAGATTTCCCTCCATGACGCTGACTGAAGGCGAGTTCAGCGGTGCTGCAGCGCCGCCTCCAGGTTCTGCTGTTTGGACTCGGCACCTGAAGGTCCAAACATGACGAGCACAGAAACATCCAGAACCAGCAGCCGGATCAACGTTTCCTCAGGGCGCTGCTGATCTCAGTGCTCAGGTTTAATCTCTCCTGAGTGTAAAATGTTCTTTCAGGTTCCGGCTCTGTTCTGGTCCGTTTGGGTCAAACCTGCTGGTTCTGACTGGAGTTGTTTGAGGGAGCATGGAGGTTGAACCGGGCCTAACATAAGACTAACCTTCTGATCTGACAGGAACGGTTTGATGACACAAAAACAATAACCGGAGAGCAAAACTGAAATATGAAGTGAAATCCAGGTTTTCTGCATGTTCAAGAGACAGAAATGAATCCAGAGAGTCCAGGAGGAACATGGGCTGATGTAGCTGCAGCCCGACGCCGAGGCGCCTCAGACCCCCAGGAAGCCAGAGACACGGAAAACCCAACCTGTCCCATAAATAATAAAGGTCCACTGAAAGCAATCTTTTCCTTCTGAAACGTCTGACAGGTTGTTAGCCAGCAGGGTGTGCACACACACACACACACACACACACCCACACACACAAAACACAAACGCACGCGCACGCACACACACACACGCACACACACACACACACGCACGCACACACACACACACGCACACACACACACGCACACACACACACGCACACACACACACGCACACACGCACACACACACACACACGCACCAGACAGAGCAGAAAGCACTTCGAAGTCGACATCCTTTCTCCCATTCATTAAATATATGAAACTAAATATTTTGTTGTTTGGAAGCTAGAAATCCTATTCAGCTTCAAATTTAATGTTTTTTTTAGCTAGCTAAATATTTAGTTAGCAAGTTAAACATTTAGCTAGCTAACTAAATATTAACCTGTTAGTGAAATATTTAAATTAAAGCTACAGATTTAGCTTGATAAAACATTTCTCTTGCTAACTAAATATTTAGTGTGTTAAAATATTTAGATAACCAGCTAAATATTTTGCTAACAATAAATGTCATTAACAATTATTTACCTTATAAGCTGAATATTTAGCTCATATTTAGTTAAGCTAGATATTTAGCATAAGAAAAGATTTTAACAAAATTTAAATCTTTAGTTTTTTTGTTAAGCTTATTTATAAGTAAATAAGCTAAATATTCTATTTAACTTCAAAACTGATATTTTGTTAGCAAACTCAATATTTAATTAGCAAGTTAAGTACTTTGCTACCTCACTATATATTTAGCTTCAAACTATTTAACTTGCTAACTAAATATTTAGTTAACAAGTTAATAAGCAAAAAGGTAAATAATATTGTTATGAAGCTAGATGTTATATTTAGCTTCAAACTAAATGTTTAGTTGAAGTTACAAATGAAAGACTAACAAGGTGAAAACTGTTCCCTCATTTCTCTTCATCACCAGACGTCCATGACGTTCCAGTGTGATTTACAGTTTTTAGTTGGTGTGAACTTATGTTTGATAATCATAAACTCTGGTCTATTTCAGAGCATATTAATGAGCCTCATGGTTCACATCCAGCCGTTTGTTTCAGGAGGCGGAGCTTCAAACTGGCCGTCCGGCTCCGACAGGAAGCGTCTCTGAAAGTTATTAATCATGTTTCTGGGATGTGAGCAACATGAACGCAGCAGCAGCTTTGACTTTGTGTCACTTCAGTGTATTTGCTGTCAGAGTCGCTCAGCGTCTCATCTGCTATTCCTGTCCGCTCGTCTGTCTCCTCACATCACCGTCCGCCGGCCTCCATCTTTTCCTCGTCTGGCTCCGCACTCGTCGTTCTCCTGTTTCTAATCAAACTGAAACACCAGAACCAACCGACGCGGTTACCGAGCTGCAGGTTTGATACAGGAGTCCCGACTGCAGTGAACGCGTCACGGTTCTCTTGGGAGGATCAAAGGTCAGACGCAGGAAGAGGCTGTGATCAGTTTTCAAAATAAAACACTCCCGGTACCAGGGTTCAGTGAGGTTCTGTTTGGCTGCTGGAGCTGACCAGACTCTGACTTCGGGTTTGGAAAGTTCCGAGTTCCTGATGAAGCTGACTGAGTCCAGCAGGGCCGGACCGCCGGTGGTACCACACTGGGTCCGCGGACCGGCTTTTGCCACCGAGTCACTCAGACCGGCAGGACTGAATCCGCCAGAGCTTCAGCCATTGTTGTTACTCACACAGCTTCACGACAGACCAGAGGCGTCCGTTCAGACATAAATCTTAAATCTCATTCCGGATGAAGAACACGATGCTAACCCAAAGCTAACATGATGCTAACACGAAGCTAACATGATGCTAACACGAAGCAAACACGATGCTAACCCAAAGCTAACATGATGTTAGCACGAAGCTAACATGATGCTAACACAAAGCTAACACAAAACTAACATGATGCTAACACGATGCTAGCACGAAGCTAACACGATGCTAACAGAGCCGTTTCTGCTCCACCGAGAGGAGGCCTGGGGTCAGTTTCCTGGTTGCCCCTGGCAACAGATAGGCAGGCTGCATAGCAACATATGCCCCTGTGGTAAAATGACCTTTGACCTTCTGGACTCTTGGCACACTGCCAGTTGGTCACCCAATGCATCCCACAGAGCTTTGGAAAACAGATTTTACTGTGAGAGTCCGATCCGCTGCAGGCTGGAGCTCTCGGCATTGTGGGACGCTGCGTCACAGAAGCGCTTCGGTTACGGAACCTCATGGCGAAACCAGTTGGACTCTGGTTCAGCGTTACGAACCGGGACACCGATTTTCTTTAAAATGTTTGCTTCCGTCGTTTCCAGATGTTTCCTCTTTTCCTTCTCTGTGTCTGTCGGGGTTTTTCCCACAGAACGACGGCGTTTTACGTCAAAGAGCGTCTGAGAAACCGTGAAGCTGCCAGAAGAGGCGAGTCGTGACTTTCTGCTGCTCTGGTCTGAAACATGAAAGACTGAGACGATGCAGCTTGGATCGAACAACATGATCAACTCAGCGACACACTGGCCCTGATTCAATCATCATCATCATCATCATCATCATCATCAGCCTTGCGGCCTGAATGTGAGATGCATCCAGAACCTTCAGGTTAGCCAATCAGACCTGCATCCAGAAGGTAAGGAGAAGGAAATGGACTTTGGTTTCTGTTTCTGTGCAGTGAAGTTAATGAAACTGAAGCGTAAACGTCAGAAACTTTGGCTAACAGCTGTGAGGTTGAGCAGCTCTGGGCCTCAGAAAGCTGCCGGTCATAAATAAACAAAGAATCACGTTAATCAGCAGAACGCTGCAACACGACCCGCCGCCTGTCTGGGAAACATGCTGCACATTAAAAAACTCAGATTTATTCATGTCGTTCTGTCAACAAGCTGCTAAGTGCAAAAAGCTTTTCGGGGCCCGAATGGAAACGTCTGTGGGCTTCCTGTCACTCACCATGGTGGTCTCAGCGATGGAGCCGAAGCTGTTGATGAAGATGTTGCAGGAGACGTTGACCGGAGGACCTGGGAGCAAACCGGCGTTACAGCAGCACATCTGCAGCTTTACTCATCCAACATGCGTCCAACATGCGTCCAACATGCGTCCAACATGAGACTGAACTGTTTCAGGAAGGAAACCTGGAGCTTCAGGAAACAATTCCAAAAATCTTAAAGAAAAGGATTTCTTTAAACATTAACTCATTTTATAGTAAATGTAGTTAATGTTAAAATCATGCCAGGCTTTTTTCTTTTTAACTTTTTGGTAAATTAAGGTTTGACCAAAATCAAAAAACGTTTACAAAAATTTCCCAAACAGAAAATACGTTTTTATAAATGATCATAATGTATTGATGGCTCAGGAACTGGAGATTATCACAATTTGTTTTGTTTTATTGAATTGGGTGAGATGATTTTGTGAGTCTTTTAGAGAAATAAATGTAGAAACCAGGAACGCACTGATTGGCTGAATCTGGAGACGTTTGAAGCAGCGATGCGGCGTGACATGGAAACAGAACCAGATCAAATACCTTAAAGTTCGGTCGGATCCGAGCGTCGTATCCCGACGTTCTTCCCATCAGTTTGTCCAGGAAGTCGGAGGGAGACATGGGAACGTGGCGCCCCCTGGCGGCGCCGTCCAGCTCTTTACAGCGACTCACACTGGAGATACACAGAGGAAGAGCGGCGTTCACACAGCATCCCCTGGCGGCAGGGGAGGTTTACACCGGCTTTAACAGGTGGAGGTTCATTCACAACAACTTCGGTTTGAATCTGAGGAATCCTCATCATAGAGCAAAGCTAACGGCTAGGAGCAGAGCTAACGGCTAGGAGCAGAGCTAACAGCTAGGAGCAGAGCTAACAGCTAGGAGCAGAGCTAACAGTTAGGAGCAGAGCTAATGGCTAGGACCAGAGCTAACAGCTAGGAGCAGAGCTAACAGTTAGGAGCAGAGCTAATGGCTAGGACCAGAGCTAACAGCTAGGAGCAGAGCTAACAGGTAGGAGCAGAGCTAACAGCTAGGAGCAGAGCTAACAGCTAGGAGCAGAGCTAATGGCTAGGAGCAGAGCTAACAGCTAGGAGCAGAGCTAACGGGTAGGAGCAGAGCTAACAGCTAGGAGCAGAGCTAACGGGTAGGAGCAGAGCTAACAGCTAGGAGCAGAGCTAACAGTTAGAAGCAGAGCTAATGGGTAGGAGCTAAGCTAACAGTTAGGAGCAGAGCTAATGGCTAGGACCAGAGCTAACAGCTAGGAGCAGAGCTAACAGGTAGGAGCAGAGCTAACAGCTAGGAGCAGAGCTAACAGCTAGGAGCAGAGCTAATGGCTAGGACCAGAGCTAACAGCTAGGAGCAGAGCTAACAGGTAGGAGCAGAGCTAACAGCTAGGAGCAGAGCTAACAGCTAGGAGCAGAGCTAATGGCTAGGACCAGAGCTAACAGCTAGGAGCAGAGCTAACGGGTAGGAGCAGAGCTAACAGCTAGGAGCAGAGCTAATGGCTAGGACCAGAGCTAACAGCTAGGAGCAGAGCTAACGGGTAGGAGCAGAGCTAACAGCTAGGAGCAGAGCTAACAGTTAGGAGCAGAGCTAATGGGTAGGAGCAGAGCTAACAGTTAGGAGCAGAGCTAACAGCTAGGAGCAGAGCTAATACCTAGGAGCAGCGCTAATGGCTAGGACCAGAGCTAACAGCTAGAAGCAGAGCTAACGGGTAGGAGCAGAGCTAACAGCTAGGAGCAGAGCTAACAGCTAGGAGCAGAGCTAACAGCTAGGAGCAGAGCTAACGGCTAGGAGCAGAGCTAACAGCTAGAAGCAGAGCTAACAGGTAGGAGCAGAGCTAACAGCTAGAAGCAGAGCCAACAGCTAGGAGCAGAGCTAATGGGTAGGACCAGAGCTAACGGTTAGGAGCAGAGCTAACAGCTAGGAGCAGAGCTAATGGCTAGGACCAGAGCTAACGGCTAGGAGCAGAGCTAACGGCTAGGAGCAGAGCTAACAGCTAGAAGCAGAGCTAACAGCTAGGAGCAGAGCTAATGGGTAGGACCAGAGCTAACAGCTAGAAGCAGAGCTAACAGCTAGGAGCAGAGCTAATGGGTAGGACCAGAGCTAACAGCTAGAAGCAGAGCTAACAGCTAGGAGCAGAGCTAATGGCTAGGACCAGAGCTAACGGCTAGGAGCAGAGCTAACGGCTAGGACCAGAGCTAACAGCTAGAAGCAGAGCTAACAGCTAGGAGCAGAGCTAACGGCTAGGAGCAGAGCTAACAGCTAGAAGCAGAGCTAACAGTTAGGAGCAGAGCTAATGGGTAGGACCAGAGCTAACGGCTAGGACCAGAGCTAACGGCTAGGAGCAGAGCTAACGGCTAGGAGCAGAGCTAACAGCTAGAAGCAGAGCTAACAGCTAGGAGCAGAGCTAATGGGTAGGACCAGAGCTAACAGCTAGAAGCAGAGCTAACAGCTAGGAGCAGAGCTAATGGGTAGGACCAGAGCTAACAGCTAGAAGCAGAGCTAACAGCTAGGAGCAGAGCTAATGGCTAGGACCAGAGCTAACGGCTAGGAGCAGAGCTAACGGCTAGGACCAGAGCTAACAGCTAGAAGCAGAGCTAACAGCTAGGAGCAGAGCTAACGGCTAGGAGCAGAGCTAACAGCTAGAAGCAGAGCTAACAGTTAGGAGCAGAGCTAATGGGTAGGACCAGAGCTAACGGCTAGGAGCGCTGCTCTCACTCAACGCCACAATGGAAAGACCTCAGAGCAGTGACAATAGGTCCTCATCAACCTGGGAGGGGTCAAAGGTCACCTGGACTCCCTCAGAGGAAGATGGTTCCCAAGAGGACAAACAGAAATGGAGTAGTTTGAGATCTTCTGTGGTTTTCCAGGCTGGATTTTCCATCATGCTTCTCTGAACAAAGATTTTCTCATCACAAACTGGACCAGACAGAACCAGAACCAGAACCATAGATTTCCTTCTGGTTCTTCTGTCTGAGGAGGATGAGTAAAACTCTTCATCGTGTAACTAACATCCTGTCTCACAACAGCCGACCCGGTTCTGCAGAACCGCCGCCTCCTCAGTGAATGGGTCAGAAGTCTGATGACTCAGAGTTCATATCAGGGTCAGAGGTCACATGACGAGAGCCAGGACCAGAACCGGACGTTGAAACGACGGCGGGGTCTTTCTATGA